GCGCGGAATTTATTGAGAAATTCGGTTTGAAATATGCACTTTGTAAAATTCAGAAAATATGATCCTATCCTCCTTAACGCAGCCACTTCATCAATACGTTTTTATATTCGCTTTCACTTGACCCTTTATGCTATTCGTTGTAACATTTCTTATTCCTGTGGAGGAGTAGTGCTGGGTAACGCAGCGCGCCGTTGCGCCATTACGCTTATACCGAGGGTGGTGCTACTGGCGCTGATACACTAATTGGAAACACGGCGGCGCATTGGCGCCAGGAACGTAAACAACGCAAAATATAGAGAAGTGCATTTTAATAGAGCTTTAAGGGCCGGTTACTCAATGTCTGGTTAACACTATAACGATAACGACGTTTAACCGCAGATTAGTGTTAACCAGACATTGAGTAACCGGCCCTAAATTACTTAATTACTTAAAAGAAATGCATGCTGAGAAGTCGGAAATCATTCTTGCTATATATGTACATATTTATATTAAAGTTATATTTAGCATAATTAATTTTTTATTGAAAGTTGCACTTATCGATGCACTGAATATGTATGTGTGAAATGAAAATTGTCGGAAATGCAATGAAAGAGAAAAAGTTAGATTAATAAAGCATTAAGGGCTGTTAACTTATCTATTTTAAAGTATCGTGAATATATAAAGGGCTAGGCCACTTCTGCTCTTACCGCAGAAATACTGAACTTTTCTTACACGACTCAAGCTTAAGTTGAGAAACTTTAACTTTGGAGTCGACTTTATCTCGACTATGAATATGCCCCAATATATTTGGAGTCAAATGCAAATGCATTCCACACGCATTTATATGTACATACTCCAAAATCATTTATTGATAACGTTCTTGCGCACATGCATACGTACGTATCCCCTTCACAGCATCAAAAGGATCTAAGTAGATCTGACATTTTTTTAAGATAATTAAGGTTGAAGTTGATTAGTTATTCTAAATTCTAGGTAAATGCATTTGAAATGATTCTTGCCTAAATGAATGCAGGTTAATTAACTAATTCAAGGAATGATTACTCTTTTTCCCCAAATAAACACTATATTTAACTATACAAATATAGGTATAACTTATATTTTCAAAAAATGTCACTTAGACCCTTATGATTCTAACCCTTTCATATGTATGCACATTGATATCTAGTAGGGATGTTGCGGATGTGGAACTTTAGACATCCGCGGATGCGAATGCGGATGCGAATATCTAATAGCTAACATCCGCGGATGCGAATGCGAATGTGGATGTCAAGTATTTTTGAAAAACCATTAGAATCTAGCATAATGGCGAGATCGTTGTTTAAACAGCGCTTACAAGCCAAACAAGATACATATGTCATGTTGTTTCAGAATTTGGAGAACCTATAACTTTATCAGCACTTTTCGATTTTAGTTTTTGTAATTCATTTTTAAAACTTTCTTATGCGACCGCTTTGAAAAATGTGTGCTTATAGCGAGCTAAATAGGTGGATATGGAAAATAGATTATTATTTTTGAACAAAATTCTGTTTTCAAAGTCGTGGCTACCAGCCGAATCGGATCAGAATATTGTTATTTTTTTTTAAAGCACCCAATTTTTTTATAAGCATTTGAATAACAAATAGTTACGTAATTCTTTCCTAAGTAAAGGTCAGACCTATAGCTGTTTAATTATTTGAGCATCGATTCTCTTTATAGCTAGACGTTGATCATTTCTACTGAAAATCCCTATTGAAGGTGCTTACTCATTGACTTTAAATAGCAAAGAAGGGACAGTTATACCACCGAAATGTTTAGCAAGGATCCAATGTATATCCCTATGGAAAAAATATTTTGCAACAAGTAAACAATACTACTGTTTTTTTAATTTTTGCTAAAAATAAATTCCCCAAAGGGCCCCATTTGAAATTATTCAAACGAATAAATGTAATGGTGGCATACGCGGTAAGTCTGAGTCGCGAGTCATTTGTGTACGTGTTGACTCGCCTTCGACTACACACAGTTGAATCATTCAGAGTCATGCCGGGAGTCATCCCACTAGAACTTGAAGGAAGATCTCCCTATGTGAGGAATAAAAGATTACTGCCCTTAACCTGATTTCTGACCAATAAGGGAGATTTGTCGGTTTTGTACTCCTTTATTACTCGTTTAGGAATCAAATAGGAGATCTCCTAAGCGAGCGACGTAATAATACTCCCTGAGGCATGATTTGGGACCAATAAACGAGATTTGTCGGTTTTGTCCTCCTGTGTTGCTTGCTTAGGAGCGTAATGAGAGATCTCCTAAGCGAGCAATTAAAGAATGCTTCCTGAGGCATGATTTGGGAGCAATAAGCGAGATTTGTCGGTTTTGTACTCCGTTATTACTCGTTTAGGATTAAAAAGTGATGTCTCCTAAGCGAGAAATCCAAGAGTATTCTTTTTGATTGATAGGAGAGCAATACGCACCTCGATCAAAAGAAATTTTGTGTTTTCGGAAAAATGTATCATAGAAAAAAAACCAACAGAAAATATTTCTTATAGACGCATAGGGAGGACACAATAATCTAATTTGGATAGCACAGAGATTTTAATAAAAGTCCGTTGGTATGTACCTCAACTTTTGTTTAAATATATTAAGTATTGTATTACTTATAAATATACCGTTAAATACTTTTCAGATGGCACAAATTAGTGTTTGCATTTAAGTGTGACCCCCGGGTTTAAACATCGCACGGGTGACAAAGATGTCAGATAAGCAAAGTCACCTTCGCAATTTCCCCGCTTGGTGGATTCCTGAATAGGCAAGCATCCTTGACACCCAGGAAATCATATACGGGTACATACTTATATGTTCATTTAGGTGCATATAATTCAAATCTTATCTTACCGTTTTGTTATTATTATGTTTTACTTTCATATGATTTCTCTGCAATATAATTCTAAAATTAAGCAATTATGTAAGACGTATCATTTATGTTTGTATCTGATCTCGTACTTTTATCTGTTAAGATCTTGTAAAATTGCACAAACGCGCGTGATTAAAAAGTTAAATAAAAAATTTAATAAATAGCAAAATCTATTTGGCTAAATTAAAATGTTCATTATCACTGCTGTCTTATTACTCCTATAGGAGGCTTTAGGGATGCCTCTAATGGGAGCACTCTCTTATTGCTCGTTCGGGAGGAATATGGGATGGTTTCTAAGGTTTGTGGGATGATAATTCTGTGTGTGCTCCCCGATTGCTCGTTTAGGAGGTAAAAGGGATTACTCCCCCTCCTAGGACATCCAATGTTAAAGGGAGTATACAAAATTACATGCTTATAGACAGAAGCGTAGGGAGCAATGGGAAGTATTCGTATACTCCCACGGGAGTACTCACCGAGCAATCGTACGATGCTCCCAAGTTCTACTGGGATGTTGGTGTAACTAACACATATTTATTTTCACAAACACATCCAAACTGACTCACGAGTCAGACGCACCGTGTATGCCGCCTATAACACCAAACGCAAATCACGAAAATGTTGTTAAGAATTACAGTGCGCACTTTCTTCTTTTGTGTCTAGTAGTTTTTTCGATGTGTATACATCTTTGGTTTCGGTAGGGGTAAAATTTGCGAAGCTGTAACGCATAGCCCAGCAGAAAATTTCGAAGGGCGTAGCATGTGTATTGCAGCAGAAAATTTTTGTTTTCATTAGAGGCACCCTGTGTGTAGTTGCTATTGCAAATGGCTGCATTCATTTAGGCATATGCAGAGTAAGATGAAATGCGGTACAATTGATTATTACTTCCGCAAGCTATGTCCATGCATATGGCTTTGTGCCTATAATATACATATGTCCTATATATATACATACATATGTCTGAACTCATTTTTTGCAACTGGTTTTGATATTCGTAAATGGTTTTAGGCACAGGTTTAGTAGTCTATTGATAAAAACACAAGGCGGAAATTTAAAAAAATACTGAAATCATTTTAACTGGGACAGTTGATAACTGATGAACAAACGTGAATATATGTATAATATACATACGTATGGATGATATAATAACCCTAATCCAGTAGATACTTTTCGTTTAAAATCCTGTAAAAATGTCAAACAGCAAAATCACTTTCTGAAGTGAGAGTAAAAAGTGAGTAACAGCAAAAAGTACTGCAACAAAAAAGCATCGGGTAAAATCTTACAACTTGATTATCTTCAAGACTCTCAAAAAATCCCTCTCATTTACATGATTTTGGAGTACGGGATCGTTTTTCCTGTAACTTCGTGCAGGTTCATGTAAAAACCTGTAAGTTCATTGAGTACTGGATCCGAGTTAATACACGATTGCACAAAGAGAAGACGAGAGTAAGAGGAAATGCCGAACAAATGAATTTAGATTCCCATCTTGCAAACAAACGATGGTATGCAATATGTATTCATGACTTTAACGTAGACCTAGCGACAGATGAAGCAGAACCACAGATCATATTCCTAGAAGAAAAACTAAATTTAGGAATCAGCAAAATGACTAAAACTATGTGCATGTATCTATGTAACTGATTCGCCTAATAGGTTTACCTATAAAAATATTATCCTCATTTACGAGCTTAACTCCCTAATCTGTAATTAGAAAAAGAGATTAGCCATACAAAATTATAATTATAAAATAATCTCAGATTAAACCGATAACTTTTTGGTGTCCAACCCAGGTTTATGCCAAATGTTAAAGTAAACAGAAATTGACGCTAGCAAGGAAAAGAGGTTTGTAAAGGTATTTTTAATAAAATTTTTAAAAAATAAACGTACATATATGCTTTGCCGTTCGCCTATGTCTACACACCAAATTTCATGAGTACCTAGTACTCCCGACTTTTTTATTTTCATTAGAAGCACCCTGTGTTTGCTTGCTATTGTAAATTTCAATTTCAATTTCAATTTATTTCAATATTAAATATTAGTACAGTAAGACCAAGATCTTTTATAGTACAACAAATAGATTCAATACAAACACATACATTAATACATATAATTAATTAAATCATAAATCATATATTCATAGGTTAACAGAGATTAACTTTAAATATTAGATGGTTCATCAATTGTTACAAAAGTAGCTATATAGAATGTTTTTGAAGTTGCTTTTATTGATCTTGCTTCTAATTGCAGCGGGAATTGAGTTCCAGATTCGTATAGCATTAATGAAAAATAGTCTAGTAGAGGTCTTAAATTTAAAGAAAGGCACCATTAGATCACAGGAACGCTCAGACTTTGGAAAAATTAATTTCTCATAAAGATAAAGAGGGGTCTTTGTGCTGAATCAGTGATATTACATCCTAACAAGCTACATCTCCACGCAGAAATATGGCAAACTTCCGCAATCCATATACATAAAGTGTGATTTGGTTAAATAAGGTGTCAATCTTATGGGATGACCTGGAGTCAAGCTTACTTTATACCACCTCAGCATAAGTAATAATAGGTAAGATTAATTGACGCGCAAGCTTTCTTCTAGTGGGAATCGGAACAAACGATGCCGATTGCCTTAGTTTTCTTAGAATACCATATACTTTGTTCACAACAGAATTAACGTGATCAACGCCGCTAAGGCTAGAATTGATAACAAACCCCAAATTGGTTACTTCATCAATTAATTTTAGGGGACTGGTTTCAAGAAAAACTGAAGGAATACTGCTAAAAGGGACTTTTGTCTTAAAAACAGGTAGAATATACGACTTCGCAAAGGCCGTTAAGAGCAGCCCAATGCGAGATAGATGATAAGTCCATATTCAAATCAGATGTGAGTCTGTGCAAATCTCTTGACGGACCCGATAAATATATCTGGATGTCATCGGCATATGCATGCATTTTTACATATTGGCATGTCATGAATATGTCATTTATGAAAGCACTAAATAACAAGGGGCCCAAAATAGATCCCTGAGGAACACCGCGTGTTACGGACTTAGTTAGTTAGGTAGCTTTTCATAAGAGATAGTGCAGTTTTACCGAACCCGAAATAATATGAAAGCTTAGAGAAGAGCAGTGTGTGATCTACGGAGTCAAATGCTTTGGAAAAGTCAAGCAAGCACAGGAGGGAAACATCATTATTATCAAAGGGAATTCGCCAATCGTCAAGAATTTTTACTATCGCAGTTGAACAACCATGCCCTGCTCTAAAACCTGATTGAAAAGGAGATAACAAGTTCTTTTCGGACATATCTGACATGATTTGCTCTGACATTAGGGACTCAAGGCAGGCAAAACACTAATTGGACGAAAATCACAAGGTGAGCATGCTTGTTTGATTTTAGCAACTGGACAAATGGAAGCGGATTTCCATAACTTTGGAAAACAAGACGTGGTAAAACAGTGGTTAATGATGTGTGTCAGTGGACTTATGATGAACGGCATAACTAACTTAATAAATCGAATTGGCAGACCATCCTCGCCAACCGCATTTGAGTTAATTTTGAGGATGCATCTAGGTACGCTCAAATACGTAATTGACGTAGGATTTGGGGCGAATTGTGACATACAACCATTAGACGAGGCACTACAAAGAAACACATCATTCAGACTTTCAACATCTAACATACACTCAGTTCTGTCCTTGGCCTGTACCTGCAGATTTTTAATGTTCCGCCATAATTTACCAGAGGGGAGAGAAGGATCAAGTTTGACTGCAAAGTATTTTCGCTTTTCTGCCTAAACTACCAAGGTGGCTTTATTTCTAGCTACGCGGAAAGCATCCCAGCTAGCTGTTGTACGGTTTCTCTTCCAAGTGCGGTAAGCCTTAGTACGGGACTTGATGGCTTCCCGCACTTTACCATTAAACCAATGGCATGTGGTAGTTTTTTTATAGCGTAATGGAACATAAGTATTATACGCAGATAATAATTTGTTGTTTAGATGTTCAAGTTTTTCATTCACGGATTCGAAATACCAACAGTCATACCAGTTTACATTGTCCAGTTCACGATACAAAGCATCCAAATCAATCGATCGGAAGTCTCGATATACATACAGTTTCTCTTCTCTTACACCATTAAAATTAATATCAAGAGAACAGAAAATCAAGTCGTGATCAGAGACAAAAGAAATTTGGTCAAATTTTAGTACAGAAGAACGGTCAGAAACAATAAAATAGTCAAGAAGACTGGGACTAGAATTATGAGAGTACCTAGTTGGCATTGAGATGTTAACAGCCGAAAGACCTAAGCTTGCAACATTATCAAGCAACGAAGAACATAATGAATCACCAGCAAGGAGATTGATATTAAAATCACCGCAAAGTATAATATTCTCGTAGTCGACAGCAATATTGGACAACTTATCAAACAAAGGACTTATACTGACAAATTTATTAGGGTTATACACGCATGAAACAAGGCACTTTTTCAAACGATCAGACAACTCAACAAGTAAATATTCAACCCCTCCATTATCCGACTCGCCGACAAGTTTCATATTGATGTGGGTCTTACAATAAATAGCAACGCCACCACCCTTTTTACCGACACGATACTTTCGAATAATCTTATAATTATTTATATTAAAATGAACATCACTAACATCAAGTGGAAACCATGTTTCGGAAACACAGATAACATCAACTGCAGAGGACGTAAACACATATCTAACATAATCCATTTTTATGTTGTTTAAGCTTCTAACATTGAAATGGACGATGTTAAGCCCTATCTGTTGATTACATAGAACATTTAACATAATGCGACTATTATCATCAATGCTATTGATCTTGCTGTTAGACACCATAAAGCAAGTGAACAAAAGCAACTTCAAGGTATGAATAAGAACTAATAAATATAGTAAAAAGCGCAATAACACTATGAACCATCTTTACAAATGCTAGCAAAACATTAAACATAAACTAAGAATAAAGAATATAGAATAAAAGAAAAAGAATACAGCAAGAAAACCTTTGCAAGTCATTACGTTCATCAATTTTAATAGCTGACGAACCTTTGTCAACTCTGACATAGACAGCACCTCGCAACGTAAATACAGACAGCAACTTCCCCGCTCTTCTCAATCGTATGGCCTATTGCAATAATTTCCTCGTTTCTGTGGTCAAACTCTCAAAAATAGAAAATTTCCCTTCGAGGCCTGCAACAGAAACAGAAACTACAAGCACTAAATGCGCGAAGTGTTCTGTTGCGGTCCAGTGGTGAATGGAACTTAATGATAACCGCACCGCACTGATTATTATTGGTAGCCTTAGTACGAAAAATATCCCGAATTTGCGGAGCATTAAAATCAATAGAGAGACACACACGGTTAAACGTACTGTTTAAGTTTTCTTCTTCGGTATACGGTATGCCAAAAACAACCGCGTCAGCAGACACGTCGGGAGAAATTCTTTGTGTTTGAACTTTCTCGATTTCAGCACGCAATTTCAGTAATTCTGCTTCACACTTCTGCTGGTTGCATACATTTCGGCATATGCATAGTAAGAGGAAATGCGAATTACTTCCGATTATTTAAACTCCGCACATGCATACGGCTTTGTACCTATGTATGTACATAAATATGTATGGACTCATTTGTTGCAACTGGGCATGAATCACGTAACTTTGAAACGATAGTCGTTCAACGATACTGACAAAACGATGTTGTCAAAACACTGATTTTTGCATTTGTGTTGCTGTTACGTGTTACTGTTACGTGAAGCAAAACTGGAATCGAGTTGACGATATCGCACAAACGATCAAACAATTTTTGATTTTTATGAAGCAAGACAATCTCGACCCGATATCGTTCAGACGATTGTCGTCATACGTGATTCATGCCATGGTTTTGATATTCGTAGATGGTTTTAGGCATAGGTTTAGTAGTCTATTTTGATAAAAAAGCAAGGCGAAAATTTAAAAAAAAAACTGAAATCATTTTAACTGGGACCCTTGATAACTGATGAACATACATGAATATATGTATGTATAATATGCATATACATGGATGATATAATAGCTCTGATCCAATACGTTTCGTGGAAAATCCTGGAAAAAGGTCAAACAGCAAAATCACTCTCTGAAGTGAGAGTAAAAAGTGAGTAACATCAAAACGACCGGAACAAAAAAGCATCGGGTAAAATCCTGCAACTTCAATCTCTACACAACTCTCCCAAAAATCGCTCTCACCTACATGAACCACAGATTATATAGACAGATTCTAAAACTAAATTTAGGAATATATACAAATAGAAATGCTCAAACTATAAGTATATACAAGTATCATATTTTATCAATCATACCGATAATTTCATGTAGAATTAAAAATGAAAATGAATAAAAAATTAAATCAGCAAAATGAATAAAATTAAGTGAAATTAATGTTTAATTTCTGACCTAACCAACATTTGTATGTATGTAACTGAATCGCCTAATAAATCGCACAACCAATTTGACAGCTAACGAGCTTTGATTGAGATTATATTTATATGTAAACGTACTTCTATGCTTTGCCGTTCGCATATGTTTACACATCAAATTTCATGAGTACCTAGTACTCACGCCTTTTTTTTTAGATTGGTCCAAAAAAAATCACAATAAAGAAAGAAGCCAAAGCAGGTATTTAAAGCACAGAAAAAATATATAATTAAAAGGACTATGTTCTCTTTGACGTACGTCAAAGGTCAAGTAGAAGTGGGAACTTTTATGGCTGCCCATTGATAGCTCGGTTATATAGCTTAAGAAATAATATTTTAAAGACATTTTTATCAAAGTTGATAAATATGACATTTGACCAGTTTTGTTACACAAATACTCCTACGACCACAGGCAAAAATATTGGCTACAATATGTAATTTTTTTGCCATATATACGTTTTATCGGTCCACTTGCAAAATATTCGCATTCGCAACAGCTCCGCATTGATTATTGCGAATGCGAAAGGGAATGCGAATGCCAATGTTAAAAGTAATGCGGAAGCTCCGCGGTTGCGAATATTCGCAACAACCCTGATATCTACTACTATAGCACACGTACAAAAGTACATAATTACTCGCATATTCATCAGAATATGTTAAATTCCATGCTCTGGCTGTTAATTAAAATGAAAGTACATGCCATCCATTGCGACAGCGTCACCGCCACCGTCAACATCACCGTGAACGATGCTTATGCGTCAAGTCACACACAATTCGTTTGACATTGCGCCCGAAAAATCATTAACTCGCTGATACTCTGCAAAATTTGCATTGTACTCTTTCACTTCCTCCATTAGGTTTTCCTCCATTATTTTTTAAATTTCGTGTTTCCGTAAATATTAAAATTTTCACAAACTGGAAAAATTTACATTCAAACATGTAAACAAAACACTGAATAGTTGTCATTTGATGCAATCGCATAAACAAACTTGAGAGTTGAGCTAATTTGAGCGGCAACGTCACCGTCTTCATGTAACTTACTTCATACAAATACACCGAATCAGCTTTTTTGACAAACTGCCGGTGACGGTGACGGCGACGCAATGCACGTTATGTACTTTCACTTTTAACATTCCCTGGCTGCGTTTCGCTCGTTTAATTGGCTCTGCAAAAAGAAACAACATGGCGCAATTGCGATGATTCTATGCCCTGATACCGGCCATGCCGCTGGCTTCATGGTAGCAGCGCCCGAAAATTTGCTGCGTTATCCAGGCCTATGGTGAAGTTCAGCTGTCAAACTCCAAAATATACAAGAAGGACGGAGAGACAAAAGAAAATTGGATAGGATTACAATCAGGTTAGACTTTAAGCCTTTAAATAGTACACTTTAAAACTCATCACATATAACCCGTACACACTACTTTAAAAACGTGCTTAAAGGCTTTAATAAAAAGTGTTTAAGAATAAAAGTTTTTTTTTTAAAAACAAATGAGGGAAAAAGTGTAGCATAGCGACTTCTCACTCCGGAAAATATGAAATAGTGGGTATGGTCCTGACTTTTTTTCCTTAAATGGAAGGTTTATAACGTTTCTGAAAATTTTAAAATCTCACAATAACTATATTTCAAAAAATATTGCACTGATTCGAATCAAAAAACTTTTACAAACACTTGTAGACAAGAATTCACGCCTTATTATAAAAACAAAATTTACTATATCTGTGCACGAATTTATTAATAATGTCGGTTGGAAATATAGTATTTTTTGCAAATTTCCGAGCTGACCTGTCAAACAAAAAATATCCACCAAATATCTCTGCAAAAGCTTTTCAGCCCCTCTTCTTCGGCAACACAGAAATGAGAAAGTATAAGTGCAGAATACATACATTTCTCTGATTAAAAAAAAATTATATTGGGATCGATAGCGGTCCTAGTCCTAATCATAACGGTTTTCTTTTTTTGAGGTGGAAATAATAATAACTGGTGGTATTAAAGGTCAAAGAATCAATTTTCATTATATATCGAAGTATCGATTTTTATTGAAAAAAGCGCTGCAGGCGAAAATTAGTGATAAAATGAGAGTTTTTACCTATTTAGTTATTTCCAGGGTTACTTATTGCACATAACAGTCTGAACTCCGTGTAAACATATTCAATACTTATTCCATTCAGGTTGAGTGGCGATACCGCACATCAGCTGGTAAATTTTGCGTTGAGCACACTAAAACTGTTTACATTATAATGAATAAGATATATAAGTTTTTAGTGATATATTTAGCGA